TGACACCAAGCCTGACAAAGTCCCTGCCTTCCTGAAATTCATGTGGCAGTAACTGGCTGGCTGGCTGGAGGCATTATTTCCAATTACTGCAAAGAAAACTTCTGAGGAGAAACCCCCCTTCAGGTTAGTTACATAGCCCTTCCCCATGCAAAACCAAGAACAGAGCCTGGCCAAGGGTATGTAGGCACTGTGGCAGAGGGTGGGGACTTTGGGGACAGGCTGCCTTTGTGGTTCTTTAAAGCCACAAAGCACGTGAGCAGTGGTCTTCCCCACCCTGCGCCATAGAGTCGAGAGAGCCGACTGACCATACCTGGCCTATCCCTCCTGCCCCCCGGCAGCGTCCCCTCGGCTCCAGATGGCCTAAGACCCCTGCCAGACCAATGGGGGGGGGCGCTTCCTGGCTCTGTTCAGCAGGGCCTGGGGAGGATGCAGCTGAGTCATTCCAAAGTCCCTCCGGGGGAGAAGGCAGGTGAAAGGCGGCAAGGTAACTTTCACTTCCTGGTTCTTCAGAGAGGAAGGGCAGCCTGTGACTCAGGGACCAGCCACCGGAGTGCTTGCTGCCTGCCCCAGGAGCTGCTAGTGTTGCCCCTTGATGGCCCAGGCCAGTGCAGCCTGCAGGCCCCGAACCCCCCTTCCATAGTCGGGGTGGGCTGAGGCTAAGAGGAAGTGATGGCAGAGGAGGTGGCACATTCTAGAAGGGGCGTGTGTGTGCTTGCACCTGTATTTGGGAAGGCAGAGCATGTTTGCACGCCCACATCCTCGTAAATACTTGTGCATGAGCAGTAAGGGTCAGCTGGGGCCTCCCAGGCCCTGCCTGGCTGGAGAAGATCATTCAGCAATCTAGACTCCCCTGCCCTGGAAGTCCTGGCCTCTAGAATTTTGCAAAACCCTCTGGGATCTTGCTTCACCGCCTATGACCTTGACCCAGAGCTGAAGCTCAAGCTCTTCCTTATTTTTCACGTACTGCTCTTGAGCTGACACCAAGGTGAATAAATTTTGCTGGAGATTTTAGGGGAAGGAGGAAAGAGGAAAAGCAGTGCAAACAACTTCAAATGTTTATATGAAATATTTGGTTCTCGGGGCGCCAGGGTGGTTAAGCGTCTGACTCTTGATTTCGGCTCAGGTCCTGATCTCAGGGTCGTGAGATCGAGCCCCTGGTCAGGCTCAGCGGGGCATCTGCTTGAGATTCTCTGCCTCTCCCCTTCTTGCTTGTGCTCTCTCTCTCAGGTGTGCGTTCACTCTCTCTCTAAAATAAATAAATAAATCTTTATTTTTTTTTTTTCAAGATTTTATTTATTTATTTGAGAGAGAGAACACA